AAATCCTGACACAACATGACAGAAAAACTCACACCAAGCGATGCCAAAGTACCCGTGGGCTTTTGTATCAACGGGCCTCAATTTGGAGAAAGGAGCCCCCGATGATGTTGATGTTGCTGGCCCCACCCCCGGCTTGTGTCATGGGTTCCCTGGAGGGTTTGCTCGTGCTGCTGCCTGCGTTGCCCTCCCTCCCCTGGGCGCAGCCCGGTAAATAAATCTTGTGTCAGCTCAACCGGAAGGACGATCACACTTTCAGCTCCGGGCCGGATAGCCTTCCTGAGGAGCTCGACGGTCCCTCACCACTTCAGCGGCACAGAAACACACAAGAACAATGATTTGTCAAAATGCGGTTCCGCTTTTAGGCAGCCTTTAGTCAACCAAATCAGTTGCTGCTCTGGGTGCTGCAAGAAGTTAATTCATAGAGCTCATGGCACACGACATGCGATCTAATGAGAACTTTTCAGGAGGTATTAGCCAGAAACATGCTTGCCTCATCTGGTTGTACGCCGGAGGAAATGCACCTGCTGGGGCCCCTTGGACACCTTGGAGCTGCTTTTTAGCACTCACCAGCAGCCCCTCAGGCTGTGCTGACATTGCACTACATCGGAGAACGAGGAATGCACTGTAGCCAGGGTGCGAAGCTGCGGCAGAACAGGCTCCTGATAAGGTTTCGTGGCTTGAGTCACATTTAATTTCGCGCCTTACCATTCCAGGAAATCCTCCTTGACTTTCCTGACGGGTATCCCGCCCATCTTGCCCAGACTTGGAGGGAGGTGGCGGAGGCGGTGGAACGAGCTGAAAGTTTGGCGTCCTGAGCACTTTCGAACTTGGGGCTTGCTCTCTGGTTCCGCAGTAGGAGATGCCGAGATCGTTACGGGTTCGAGCCAGTACCTTCCAGAGGTTGGATGACATGGTACGCAGATTAGAGCAAGGTCCCGGTTGCGCCTCGAGCAGCAAGACTAGGATCACCTGCCACTCCCAGCTCCCTTGATCTCAAAGCATCGTTTTGGCATCCCTAGCTGGCCACAAGGGAATCTGGACGGAAGACAGGGGTGCCTGCCGCATGGTCGCGGCGATTTCGCCGATTTTGACGACCGCCTGTTTCAACATGCAAGGAGCATCAAAATAGAGTTGCACGAATTTGCGAGCAAAGGGGCCACCGCTCTCAGTTCTGTCCATCCTTTCGAAGTCCGCACCCTGGCCTCAGAAACAACGGAATCTCGAGGCATCAGCAAACGCAAGCAATTCGAGTCGCAAGCGTGCACGTCGGCTGGACAAGTCACCATCAGCCAGCAATTTCGCACACATCAAGGTCAGCTGTCGGGCATGACTGGGCTCGGCACCATCTGCGTAGCCTCTTCTTTCTGCATCGAAGTCTGCCGAAGAGCGCCGTTAGCAAAGTCCGCTCTGAAATGTCTCAAAATAGGAGTGCCGTTGGTGGGGCTCTTCACATCACGGACTCTGCCTTTTTTCGAAAAAAATGGGTGACCCCCCTTTTGAAACATAATTGGCTATGCCGTACGGAAGGGCCTCTGGTCATGTTCCGGCCTGAGCTTGCCGTGACGAATGTCAGACATGCGGTGGTCGTGAAAAAACGTGACAACTTACTAATTAGCACTTAATTCAGCGCAGGACCCATCATTTGATCTTCATCGCCTGTCTGCAGTGAGCCATCACATCGTTCCTTTCATCTTGCCAGCCATGTTCGGCCTCGTCGCGGTCGATTCCGGCCTACGGAGCCAAGACTCCAAGATATGGTGTAGGTATATAACTTAAGATATCATGACGTAGGGACATGGGGTGGGAGCAAAGCATGCCTTTGCCACGCGACTTGGAAGCACCTGCCAGGAACTGCAGCGTGAATGCTTGGACTCATGTCACGGCCAGACGCGGAGGCGTCATAGTGTAGCGGCATGTAGAAAAACTTATCCATAAGCAGCATTTTACCCTAGTTGTTTCATGGTAGGACTGGGCAAAAGTCTGCAGGCACCGAAGTGCTCCTACAACCCGACCTCCCGCATTACTGGTGAATGAGCATATTCCAAAAAAAACAAAGCGCCTCCGCTTCCGCCGCTACGGTCAGAGGCGTTGTCGAAGCCGGTCGACTACAGGGTAAGGCAGCTTCGCATGGACAGTAGATCCTCGTACTCTGGAAATGGGCTACAGAGATGGGCATGGTAGTTAGAACAGGAAATCCTGTTGGGATCTGTTCCGGTTCCAAATGCGCAACCTTTTCATACAAGCTTTGCACTCGCGAAGCTGAGAGCGAAGCCATGAGGATGACAGGTCTGGCTCCAAAGCGCTATCTCGCACAGTGCCAGATCCATGGAAGCACCATGGCAAGGCTGTCCGTATGTAATGCCTGGCAGTAATCTGTGGAGAGCTATGGTGATCTTCAAACTGTGGTGCTGAAAAAACATCTGCTCGCTTCCGATGATCAGCTTAACTGCTAAGCATGCAAGAAGTGATCAAGTAGCTCTGCTTAGCTGTTCGTTGGGAGACTGCAGTCTCTTCTGCAAGCCAGTTGGCAAGCACAAGTCAGGCTCCCCCCCAAGTTGCCACATGAGCATGGTTCCAGCTCAGCAAATTCCACAATGCGATCCTCAACGCACCAAATCAGCAATAGACTTCTCGCTTCCCGCTGCAGTTGGCAGACAGTCGCGTGCGAGGCAGCAAACATTAACATCGTGTATGCAGCCTGTCAGCGAAGAAACTACTGCTGGGACTTCATGCGCGGTTCCTGGACTTGATGAAGAACACGAAGCGTGCTGGGAAGCAACAGCTTTTCAGATGTTCACGGAACCACGAAACGCGCGCGAGTAGTCATCAAGCTCGGCCTCAACAGCACACATGGAGGCATCAGCAACACGTTGACCGAAAATAGTTAGCGTTCCCGATTCTTGCCTGCACAAAGATGCACATCTCAATGCCATCGGCGCTGAGAATCGTATCCTCCCAGCCACCACTTGGCCGGATGCATGTACCGTTGGAAGAACAGCGACATTAAAGACAGGTCCTGGTCGCCCGGATTTAGCATGCTGAAGCCCTTCTGCAAAGCCTGCTGATCTTCTCTCTTATTAGCTTTCATGAGGCCTTATGCTGGTGGCTTTACACCCAAGGCCCACGTAAACTGGCTGACTGAGATGGCTCCATCACCTTTTCATCATTTTACGCGCCCGCAGCTCCATCAAGCAATGCTTGCTAAGCAAACTCAGCCCTTGAAAGCTACTTGCTGGCTCCCAGCCAGCGTGTATCAAGCATGTATGGACATGGCCAAAGCTCTGTTCCCGACTAAATCCTCTCGCTGCTGCTCACAATTCCTCAGCTTGAATACTCGAAGTTCAAAGTTTTGCGAAGACTGTCTTTGCCATCAAGAGTCTACTTTTCTAGATCGACGATGGCTTCGTCGCAGCTTCCTTGCTTCTGCATGCCACTTTTCTGCAGCCTGCGTGTCGTCATCACTCATCACAAGAGGGGCACATGAAACATCATCTGCAATCTCCACTTCCTGACCTGCCTTGACCGCGCCATCGGGAAGGGAGTTGATAAACCTTAGCAGGTGGCACAAATGCGAGCAACAACAGCAGCAGCTGCCGCAGCCTCTGCGGCCGCCGCAGCGTTGGCGGCGGTGGCAGACAGTGTCTTCAAGATTCAAGAACGGCATGCGTGCAAGCAACCTGCGAAAAATCCGCGTTGCTTCATCCTTCGGCAGCTTTGTTTTAGGAGCGGGAGGCGATGGTAACCTTCCCCACGTCCAATTCGGATGAACCTGGACACTCGTGAAAGCCACATAAAGCCATCAGAATGCACCGCACCATGTAACAATATACTAGAGTAGTTTCCATTTTCTTTTCCACTATCCCTATATAACCCCAATATACTATAGTAGTAGGGCTCTTTTTCTTTTTGAAGAGTCTCAAGGGCCTTGTGGTGGTACTTCACCACTTCAGCCACTGCCGACCAAGAGCCACTTTGCGGTGTGATGAGCCCACTTGCCAGCGCCAAAGTCTTAGTCATGGCAGGGTTATATAGGGGCGGTATAGGGGTTATATATGGGTTATAGGGTTATATAAGGATAATGGAGAAGAAAATGGAAACCACTATAGAACTATCCCGCCAAAGTCTTAGTCATGGCACTTAAGTTGTTATATTAACCCCCTATAATGGAGAATCAAATGGAAAAGAAAATGGAAAATGAAATGGAAACTGGGGGAATATAGGGGTTTAAGTATAGAACTATCCCAACCCCCTAAAAGCATTAGCACCCTGAGGCATCCTACCTCTCTTAAGTACTGCCGGGATGCGTTGCCAAGGTTCACCGCCTGTGAGCCAGGCAAGCAATCACCAACACACACGAACCAAACACACTTGGGGGTTTCCCAAAATTAGGGGTACCTTTTTGGGGGCCCCCATAATAAGGACTTTCGTATTTGTGGGGTCTACATTGGGGTCCCCTTATTTTGGGAAACTACCGCTTGTTTCGGACTTCGGACAGTATGCTTGCAGTGCCAGCCACTTGATGCCACCAGCCAGAAGGAATCAGAAGCAAGTCTCCAGAAGTCAATTTCGCTTCCCATATCGGCACGCCCTGCCCACAAGATGGAAGAAGACAACAAGGCATGCAGAAATCATGATCCACCCAGAATAGGTCTTTTTTCGCGCGGGCCCGCGGGCACGCACCCTTAAAGCGGGACCGGGACCGGGCCACCGGGACCGGGCCACCGGACCGGGCCAGCGGGACCGGCCACCGGGACCCCGGGACCGGGCCACCGGGACCGGGCCACCAGAGTTTGCAACTTTTGGATGGGGTTTG